ATATGGTTGTTTCATATTCTCTTCTCCTACACATTTTTCCGCTGTCATTGCTAAATCTTCAACATAATTTTAATGCTTATTATCACTCACTTGTTTGCTTCAGTGTATTCAGTTTGTGAATTGATTGTTTCCACGCTTTTTCGACCTTAAGGTCAGTTGACAAGGATTAGTTCATACGCCGTTTGATCCTCCAGGATTCTGGAGCTCATGTGCATCATTGGTTTGGAATCAGGGTTCTCCAACTCTCCCGGGTGAGTCCTCCACATACACCAACCCGGATAATGAGCTCGGAATTCACTTTTCGTCCTCCCGATTTCGTATATAACATCCCCGTCGCCTGAATGCAATGAGTAGGACTTTTGTGGCCGTGATTGTATGCACATGGCCATTTGAGAGCAATTTCAGAGGACTAGTTGGCTCTCCACACTCTAGGCCGTGCCAGGGCAACCAGAAATTGGTGATCTAAAGCTATGTCAGCTCCTCTTCTGATTCTCACGGCTTCCAATGTCCCTCTGATTTTGTGACTGAAATAAACGTCATCTATTTGGTTCTATGTGGCGTGGTCCGGTGAAATCCATGTAGCATTTTTTATGCGTTTGTGTGGGAATTTTGTGCCGCCTATGACGAATTCGTTGAATGAACACTGGTTTGCATATTTTCGTTTCTCTTTCCCAGGTCATGCCGTCCCACGATGTCTTCATATCCAGTGTGGGCCATCCCGTCTTTGCCGTTTAGATTTCTTATCAGGATTTTCAGGTCTTTTGCTAGGGACTCCTCTGTGATCGATTGCAGACTCTCGTAGAACTGATCTTTATCGTCGTCTTTTCTACATTGGTGCACTCATAAGATCGGATAATATTAATCGTGATCCGCTCCTTCTTTTTGATGAATGGTCTGATGAGTCTGTTTTCATGAGATTCCCATCCTGAAAATCTTTACGTGCTTTCATTCTACCTTGTGTGTGCAGAGCATTGTTTTCTTCTTTACTAGAGATCGGTAGCATAGGTGCCGTATCTAAACTTTGCTGTCTAACATGAGCCCATAGGGTTTCGCTGATTCCGAAAACCATCAGGTTGAATCTTCTCATTTATGCAGCTATTCAGTTGGTCCTTCCAGTTTCCTGAATTGTCAGAACATTCCATATATCTACAATAATTGTTGTTTGGGTTGTTGATGGTTTTGTAATAAGACTACAAAATTACTTGAATAGCATTGCTTAGGAATTATTTTGAATTATTTTTAATTGATATCACGATATTAATTTATTTAAATCGTGGATACATCTAATCGTCGGCTGGTAACAGTTGTAGAACTACTGAATCTTAAATACCTATTTTTATATAGGGTTACAATTATGAAGCAGCATGTAATAATAATGTCGAAAGTGACAGAAGCGAAAATTCTCTAGATATCATTGAGATATCGTGTCACAAACCATTCATAACACATTTTACAAATTCAGTCTGCTTGCTTTATTACACTGACAATACTTAGTGTACTTAATGAAGGTTGTCTCGCTGTCAACTTAGTGGACGTTAATGGTTTTGATTTACAGAGTCTTAGCCTGGCCAAAGTCAGAACAAGTAGGCTATTGTTTTGATAAACTCTATGTACTTTTAAAACGCAATTAAACACTTTAAGTATACAAAATAACCAATCACTAAAGTCTCTTATTCAGGGAGAAAGAGAGACATAAATAACTTACCAAAAAGTAACTGAAGAATAAAAATAATCAGTCAACAAACTGAATATGGTTTATGTGATAAACATATAATTGTGATTATTGAATAAGCAAAATATAGTTATATAAGGTCAAAGGGAGTTCATGCGGTGGTTTGGGTGTATTATGTTGATATTGGTGGTTTTCTTTATCGATCACACTTTACACTAGTTACGGTGAAATTAGTTAGTACACAAAAAATGTTACAAATGTCAAGTGCGTTAGTGCTTGAGAGGAAATTCAATCTTTAAAACAATGTATAGTAACATCATTTTATTATGAAATATTTAATAGCGATGATGATTTGTTAAACAGAAACAACAATACCAGACTAAAGTAGATGAAATGTATGAGTATGTAACAAAAGGAATTCATATTATGCATAATAGCTCAAATTTTCTCATTGGTACCAGTCCCATATTCATTTGTGTCCCTAAATGAGCATTCAAAAATTAAACTCAATACACCACATTCTCGATTTATTAGAAAGTTTTTAAAAGTAGCCATTCACAACTGTTAATAAACGCTAATTTATTTCTAAGAAATAATCACCAAATGAATGAGAACATTTTAATGACATTAAACGAAATATATAAGAAAAAGCAATATAATAATCATGCCAGACGAAATATTATTGACGATGATCATGACGGCAATAATGAGCATCACAATGAAATAAATGAAATCTTAAACAAAATAAACACTGAACAAGTAGAACATGTTGTCAAAATCAACAACGAAATACAGTCCAATTGTTGTGACATGAAAAGAAACATTTTAAATGAACAATCCATAGAACTGTCAAGAGAGCGAAAAAGAAAAATATTTCAAAAGAATTTTCGTTGATCCAACATCAGAGTGGATGATGTTGACTTTCGAATTGTTTACTTCCGTTGTATTTATATCATTAGCGTGGTATTTGTTTATGTAATTATATTTAGCTCAAACTTTATTATTGATAGAGTTCAATTGTGTAGACATGAATAAGGTTGAATGGGAATACAAAAGGTAGTCACTCAGTAGTTTAATGTCAGGCTGTTCAGACCATAATAACATCCAAGTCTATATATTCAGCGCTGAGTTACTACAATGTGCTTGAGAGGTTTATCAGACTGTATTACAAAATATATCGTACTGTAGCAGCTTGTCTTGTTGTAGATCACATTTTACACGCTTATTTGCGGACTAGTTAACCTAATCTGTTCAGACCTCTGCGTACAAATGTTTGTCAATCACTATATTCGTTATCCATGCGTAGCTTGTTTTTCGCTGCACTGCTGTAGAATTATGGTCTACTATGATATTAGCATTGCTCTAATAATAGACCTTATCCTAAAATTGTAGATTTGTCATGATGCAACTGGCTAACCTATAAGATCTCACGTGGAATTCACATTATTATCTACACCACCTCATCACATCGCAACAATTACCAATACATGATGGAGAACAAGATTAGGCTAGATATGGAACAATATATTTAATACGAATAAAAGATTAGAGATGACATTCAGCTGGGACCACGCCTGCATGGCCCAGCCATGCCATACCACCAACCTCAATTTATTCAATTCCTTATTCCCGCCTTCTCCATTGTTGGGTATTTCTTCGCGTTAAATATTGAGTATCTATTTTCCGAGTAGTCTCGTGTTCAGCTTTGAGGAATGTGTGGTTATGATCCCATGCCACTACACTACTCTCCCACCAGAATCAACGTGATGTTGATTCGATACCAAATTGGATGGGTTTGTCGCGCGCCAGAGGTTGCCAAGAATGATAAGAATCCACCGGGTTTTGGTAAGCTGGAAGATAGATCAAATAGAAGGAGGCAGAATCTGGTCGGGAAATACATGTAACAATTTCAACACGTCTGGTTTAATGCCTAACACGCTTAAAATGAAAATTTAGGTAAAGATTATTTGAGCTAAACAAAGTGGGATTATAATAATAAAACGATTCAGTATAAGGATATTTTAATAAAGTGCCGTAAGATATGTACTGATATTCGTAGGTTAATAACATTTTCTGTTTAGGAATATTAAAAACAGCCAATATTAGAGAAATGTTAAAAGTGGTATTATATTTGGTCTAAATTATGAAATCAAATAACGTATGTGCCGGTAAGTTGTCCATGCGTTGATTTCCAATTGCATCTGTATTAGTAGGCTAACTGAAAGAACAAAGGTATAATCGCGGAGAAGAATTCCAACTAGTGTTCCAGTTAGTTTGATACGGTTTATTTAGATATGGGGAGATTTTCTCGACCTCGTTCGTACTTGACCGTGATAGAATTTGGTAATACAACTAATACATATGAATTGTTATCAAAAATTTTAAATACGTGAAAAGTAATAATTATGTGGATTTTGGACATATAGCTAAGAGTGATTCGTTAAACATGAGTGTATCCGTTAGAGATATGCTCTAGACTCAATGTTCTGATTTGCTATAGACTATTTATTTATATTCATACCTATCGGCTGATGGTACATACAAGTTAGTTGCAAGTGTCAGTTTAGTATAAGACGGAATGCTATTTCATTGAGATATAGTGATTATAAGTTATTGAAATCAGTTAGGCCTATGTGCCACATTTTTAGGTGATGTGGTGCTGCAAGATGTATTGGTCTAAATAAGTTTTTACAAGATGATTAACAGTGAGTGATGCTCATGTGATTACCAGGGAGAACATAAGTTGTAACCAAGGGGAGTACATTCCCAACTCATGTCTATGATAATGGCTTGAATTTTAGTCAATGTTGGGGTAAATTCGACATTGATGTTCTCAGTCTGCAGGAGATTTGCTCAACTGCTTATACTGATTACTTGCATGCATGATTGTGTCGCTAAACCTCCATTTAGACTGACAAGATTTTGAGATATTTACTGAATGAGCAAGTGATAAACATACTGTAATCATCCGTAGTGAATGAAAAGAAAAACAACACTACTTATTGATAATTATAGGTCAATTTGCTGACCCATTTGTTAATAGTTTCGTCAACTTTATCAATCATATTACGTGATTGTCAAGTCATAACAATGCTTTATGACGATATCCTGAAACCGTTATGTCTAACTAATTATAGTGTTGATTGAATATTAGACGGTGGACAAATAGTTATTGTTGCTTTAGGTGATTTGAAATTATCAGAAATTTGTAGCGTTGAAGAAACCGAGCCGCCTAATTATATTATAAATTTCAATTCAAGAATATACATCTAGTGTTAATTTTAGTAATAGTTTCCGGAGTTTGAATTCTAAATGTTTGTTTAGCCAACAACTACCTGTACGCGGTACGTTTGAAGTTTGCGTTACGATAACACTATCTAATATATATTGATTGTATATCGTTGAGTCCTAGTTTATAACTCATACATAGCTTTAGAATTCATACTTTAAGCAATATGGGTCGACTGTCAAAAAAACGAGCACGGAAAAGTCCTAACTCTTCAGATATTAACAATTCTGTTATTACCTATTCTTCTTGCTCCGCTACTCCTTTTCTATCTGATAATGTTGGGACTGGTCTTTCACCACACGTGCTGCTGGACGACTCTGTTTCTAATTTAGTAATGGGTTCCACCTCAAGATCAAAAAGGATTGATGATATGAAGAGTGAATTAAACACTCTGTTTAAGCAACTAAGCGACATGCGTTCTAAAGTCGAGTCACTTTCTAGCTCTTTATCAAAGCATGAAGATCTTAAGCAAGAACTAAAGACACTATCACCCTTAAAACTGCTTTTGTCAAAAGACATCGTTCCCGCGGAACTTGATGACATTATAAAAGCAGAATCTGTTATCGATTTTATCGCTAGTGAAGTTACCAAGCGAATAGTCTCTCGTAATAACGTGATTGTCTATAATATACCTGACAAAGTCTCCATTAAAACTGTAAGGAATTCGATATTAAAAGCATCTAACCTTCAAGACAGTCCATGCCAATGCATCCGACTTACTAAGAAGCACCAGAAATACTCGTGCCCGGTCTTGTTCAGGTTTGATTCTCATATATTAGCTGAACAGTTAAAAGAATCTGAGCCGCTGATATGCGCGCTTACGAAGTTTAGAAACGCTCGCATAGTCTCAGATAAGACCACCAATCAAAGACTTACGCAAAAGCGTACCGCGAACGAAAATATAGATGTTGAGATCATAAAAAATCACGACGCATCAGCTGCGGGATCCACTGATACTGATACCCTATCTCATGTTCTCCAGTACTCTGATCTGCCAACGAAGAGTGCTAACTTACCTATTATGCCTGTAGTGACATCTGATAAGCAATGTACATCTACTGATTACACTAATCCGATAGTATCCAATTTACCATTAGAAGCCCATAAGCAAATACCTAGTCCTAATGCGACAGCTCTTAAAAACACTGTCAAGATTAAAAGGTCTATGCCACGTAAGAAGAATGTTTGTACAGAACCTTCTGGTTCTAGACCCAATAATAAAAGTATTACGATGGCCCCACTCAATACAAATAAGACTAAACTACCCGACACCATGCTTTACCCAACGCATCGTAGGGGAGGATATAAGGGCAGACCTGGTTCAAATGTCTCACAAGACGGCCACTTCAATCGTTATGTAAGTAGGCCTAATACTGGACAGACCACAGTAAACCAACGAGCCTCACGAGTACCCTCAAACGCTTTAAATAATAAACCTGTAAGACGTAACCTCTCTCAACACTTTCCCATTAGGCAAGATGGATTACTAGGTTACCCAACATCAAACTTTTCAAATAATATACCAGTAACACATAACTTTTCTCAACACTTTCCGATTGGGCAAGATGGATTACTGGGTTACTCACCATCAACCCAACCTTGTCTTAACTGTCCGCCTAGTCAAGTTCAACAAATTAATCCGCTTTATAAAAATAATGATTTTTTTGGCCTTCAGAAATCCCTGGTCCCACTAGCACTACAGTTTGCTCAAGCGATCGCCCATGTGATCAGTCAAACATAATAAACCACAGTCTATGCAAATCCAAAATACACGACATCAATAGGGAAGCTCTCGGTTTTTTTACACTCCATACGCCCTTTCTAAATCTATTACTTATCAATGCACGTTCACTTCTGAACAAAATTTCAGCCTTGAGAACATTAGCCTTTCTATCCAAGCCTTCTTTCATACTTATCACTGAAACATGGTGCTCTCATGCAGTATCTGACTCAGAATTAAATATCCAAAACTATAGACTCTATCGCTGTGACAGAGAAACTAAGCGAGGAGGTGGTTGTATTATATATGCTTTGGATACCCTAACAACTAATAGAGTTGAAGATAGTGTCCTGAATAGTTTACCAGAATCAGTCTGGATATCTGTCAACACCCTGAATCATAGTCTACTCCTTGGATGTATATACAGAGCTCCTGAGAGCTCAAATAATGGGAATAATCTTATTATCAATGCATTCATACATGCATCTGCTCTAAACTTCAATGCTAAGGTTATCACTGGTGATTTCAATTATCCTGGGATTAACTGGAGTACCGGTAGCTGTCAGTCATGTAATGAGGAGTTCTCGGCAACCATTAACATGCACTGTTGGTCACAGTGGGTTCGTACCCCAACTAGAGGTGATAGTATACTCGATCTAATATTTAGTAGAGATATTATCCCACTGTCTGTAAAGGTATACGATGAATTTGAAAGCAGTGACCATAAGACAGTAGTATGCTCTCTCCCTATATATCCCTCTTCTATCCGACCCATTCAAAAAACCTGTCAATATAGAGACTTTAAGCATGCCGACTGGGACCTCCTGCATTCACTGATTAAACTTTCAGACTGGGATAACTTTTTTTCATGTACTAATCTCATAGATACTATCGACGAGTTCTATTTGATCGTTAACTCTTGTTTAGATTCTTCTGTACCTCTTAAAACGTACAGGTTTATTAAACCTTACGAATTATATATACCAGCTAAATATCGTAATAAACTAAGACGCCTACAGAATCGTTTTTTCAAGTCAAACGACTTCACGGCAGCTGCGCAAACAACAATAATTTTTAATCAAATTAAAGAGACACATAGGTTAAAAGCCATTAATGAGGAGATACTAGCACTTAATAGTAACTCAAAAATACAAAACTTAACTCTACTTCTCAATAAACGCGCTAAAGTAACTCAAAATGTTGATATACCATGCATCCAGCATAATAACACTTTTATATACGACTCTAAAACTAAGGCAGACCTTTTCAGTGCTACTTTTGCGAATGATGTAGGAACCACAAGTGGCTCTGCTTCAAGAGTTACGTGCGTGACCAGCAACTCCATAAAATCTATCTTCTTCACATGTAAGAAAATTAATATGGCTATAAATGCCCTTAAGCTTTCGCGCGGTCATGGAGCAGACGGGATTCCATCCTTTCTCTACAAATACGGTGGTCCAGATATTCCACTTCTTCTTCTAAAGCTGTTTACTCTCTCTATGGAAACTGGTTCTTACCCTTACTGTTGGAAAACCGCGTACATCATACCACGTTATAAATCTGGAGATAAGACTGACATGAACAATTATCGGCCAATAAATATTACTCCAGTGATCTCTAGGATTATGGAGAAAATTGTAAGTGATGAACTTTCCAACTATTTACTCGCTGGAAACTTTATCAATGATACTCAACATGGATTTCTCAAAAATCGATCTTGCATGACATGTCATTTCGACTTCTTTAATTTAGTCTACTCTCTACGTAGCCAAGGATATCTAGTCTTAGTGCTATATCTGGACATTTCTAAGGCCTTTGACATGGTTAACCACCAACTTCTTATAGGCAAACTTGCATCTTATGGGGTTCAAAATCCTTTGCTAGATTGGATTGAATCATTTCTCAGCAATCGACATCAAATAGTTAAAATTAACTCTTCATTGTCTAACGCTGTCCCCGTTAGAAGTGGTGTAATACAAGGTAGTGTCCTAGGCCCTTTGCTCTTTTTAGTATTTATCAATGACATTTGCGAAAATTTTTGTGTAGGTAAGCCCCTTCTATATGCAGATGATCTTAAACTAGTATATCCATTTTCTCCACATGAGCTGGAAAATGTGCAAACTTGCATTAACTTGGAGCTTAACAAGGTAGCACAGTGGTGCTTAAAATGGCAACTGGAACTTAATACGACTAAATGTGGATGGATATGCTTCGGCGATACATCGCTTAACCTAGACCTTACCATAAATGGAGAAATGTTAACTAGGTTACATACAGTAGTAGACTTAGGACTTAGATACTCCCAAGACTTATCGCTTACAGAACAGATATTGAAACAGACCTCCAAGTCACAACGACTAGTAGGTTACATAATTCGAAACCTTCATAACAATGAATCACGAATTTTAATGTACAAAGTTTGTGTTCGACCTCTTCTAGAATATTGCACGTTTATTCTTAGCAGTGCGCGCATAAAGGATAAATTAAGGCTGGAATCAGTACAGAGACGATTTACACTTCGTATTCTTGGAGCTGATTGTTCCTTAACTTATAATTCTAGATGTAAAAAACTAGAGCTAGACCCTTTATGGAAGAGGAGACTCAAACTAAATCTTATTTTTTTCTTCAAACTACTTAATAAATTATCCTTTACATCCAATCATGTAATTCAATATGCAGAGACTCCTCATTATGAAACCCGTAATTCCTTGGCACTTGTGAAACTAACTTATTCTAAATCATCTCTTTATATGAATTACTTTGCCTGTAAATTTTCTAGACTCTGGAATAACCTACCAGAACATATCCGTACGATAAAATCACTCCCATTATTTGTACGTTGCATCGATGCATATTGCTCCTCCGAAAATGCATTGAATGCTCTAGCACCCTCAAGTGTATCTCACTCCACAAGTGTTATTATAGGAACTTTAAATGTTTAGGCATTTTTATTAGTGCATTCTCTGGATAAAACCACCGACTTGCTGTCACTTTATGTTAATACCGTCCCCAGCTAGTTTAACTAATTTGAATATCATCAACAGTATATCACTGTGTCACATGACATACGCATTTTGATAGATCTGTTTGACATATTTCGGTAATTACTGCTTTGTTGTTCCGTGCTCTCTGTTTTCTTTTTAATTTCTCTAGTTGTAGATATTTATCATTAAATCGATCTGGCACACGAAATGACCTTAATTACATCGTTTATAAATCAACAGACAGTCCAGTTAAGAAATATTACATGTTCCCGGCTGATACATTGGATCGCTGTAATACCCAAACAATTACTGAGCTAGTAAACCTAAAACTCATAACACATGTTTGTTCTGTACATATAATGATATTTATATCAAATTGATCATGCCTGTAAACTGGCGTGAATTCTGTAATTATAATTTTTTCAGAATATAAATTATTATTATAGTTTAGCTATCATACTAAGGCAGTATGCTAGTACTCAAATTTGTAACTTTATTATTTAAACTATGTTTGTCTTTTTATGTTACTAATATGGTAGACCGATTGACAAACCCAAATACGTATAGCAAGAATGACTATGATGGGTTTGGTGAGAAATGCTAAAGGCGATTCAAATGACTTTCGAATTCAAAAGTCATGGAGATATAATGCAACGCATTTACGGGGTTGTTTAACATGCAGGTTATTGATGTATATGACAATTTTAAAAATAGTAAACGTTGCCAGAAAAATAATTTTTAAGATAAGACTGCTTATGAAACTTTCGGCAGGATTATGATGCGTTATAAACTTCCCATAGAAGTTCCTGTATTTAGCATAGTGACACTTACAAATATGAAGCAAAAACAACTGTAAAATATATACATATCAAGTACAAAAAAACATCCAGTAAAATAGTTAAACGCCTGGATTATTTTTAAAAATTGGATTATACAGTAGACGACATATGTAACGTCATTAGTGAGAAGTAATGATCCAGAAGCATCCAGAATAAGACATGCAGTATGGTAATTAATTCCAGGGTCCTTGGTACGGCTGAGGTTTTTGTCACTTGCTCGGATCAGAACAATTGAATGAATCCAGATAATTGTGTGGTTGCCATTGAACGAGCCATCTAATATGACCTTATGATTGCAGAAAACTTATAGCTAAAACTCACCGTATGTTTTTGTAGTAGTGTCATCCTTGTTGTTTCGCAATGGAACTAGTGAATTGGAAATTAGGCAGGCAGTGGTCGGAAGAAAAAAATATTACAGGATAGTGCATAGTTTAAGACAGAATGTGTAAAGTGAAAAAACACTAAGAATTAGATCCAGATAACTATTTAGTCCTTGATTGCATGGATAGACAATGTAAATTGAGGTTATTTGCAGGTCATATTTGCTAGAGCTTGATGTTAAAACAAGTTTATTTCGTTGAAGCATGTAAATGCTACTAAAGCTTGTTAACGAACCATCAAAAGCTAATTAGTTAATGTAGATGACCAGTTTTTATTATTGATTGAGCTAGTAAGTTATGAGAACTAATCAACATAACATTACGATAATACACATGAGCATTAATCAGAGGACTATTAGAATAATGGGTTTACACAAGTATATATCGATCCAGAAATATCAGGTGAAAAAGAGAAAAAATAATAATAGGTTGAGTTTCTTTAGTCGGGCTCACTACACTTCTTACAATTTGTGTGAATTGACGAACATTGTATAGCATGGGAAGTTAGACACAGACGAAAGAAGTAACTACTGTAGTCTCTATTTTGTTTCTCTAACTGTTTGTCTAAATCAACTTATGTGTGATTTATACGTATTCAAACTTCATTCTCGAAAAAGCTTAAAGGAATCGCATCACCAAATAAAAATTTCTGTTGCACATAATTTACCTTGAATCGTTTCATTCGTGTACTCCGTTCACGCCGTAGCGCTTGTCTATCTCTTGTGTTCAGAGTGAATGAATATTTCAGCTGCGATCTTCAATTTGTTCTGTTGTAAGTGTTAGATCTATCGACGCGTCTAAGTCACCCGATTAAGATACGCTCAAAACCAAAGTTTTCAAAACAATGATTTGTCTAAAATAGCGGTTTTTTATTGAAAAATACACAAACGTTTTAGTTACAAACCTCAAATTGTGAGGTGTCTGAGGGGTTTCAACAAGCACTTTAAGTATGAAATAATAGGGTTTCATGTAACAGTAACGTAAAAAATAATTACAACATAGGATATCACAAAGGACAGCTGATAGCTGAGTCTAAACTTGATAACAGTTTATGAACAACCGAAACCCGAACCAAAAGCAAAATTATATGGAAACTGTTGCGTTTAAACAAATGCACAGCACTGCGGATAACCGCAACAGTGATCAAGGTACAGTAATTATAATGATAAGTACAATGGTAATATGGTAATATGTGAACATTTCAGAATGTTACACTACCACTTGCGTTACAACTTAAGTGTAAAAATGGTTGGGATTACAACTGCTTACTCAACGTAAGTAAGCAGTATAAAACAATATACAAAAGAGTGGACTGGAAGCAAGTAGAAACAATGTTAGACAAATTTAAGAGTTGATAGCACACTAATGACCGAAATTATGAATGAAACAATTGTTTCAGGTTTCAAATGGTAAGAAACTGATTTTTAATTCATTCTTCGTGTTTAACATGGTCGTTTAGGTGATCGATTCAAACACTCTCCGACGACTTATTACTTTATAAAAGTAGTATTCATGAAGGTACAGCACAGGAAATAAACGCTACCAATGATTTTACACTCACCTAAACGTGGTTGATGTAATCATTTAACCTGCTTTCTTCTTACTAATTATAATTATATGAAGTAAGTCCGTCCATTAAGTTGTTTATTTACAAAAAAAAGTGACTTTCATCAAGTCACTAAACATCAAAAATCTAAACTTCTAGCCGTCGAGATACCACAATCAAATTTTACTGTTATTCCATCTGATATGAACAGCTGGTCAGATTTGTGACACTTTTAATGATAGAATGATGGCCACTTCAGTATAGACATGGAGAGGATCAATTAGAAGTGGAAAGTGAAAAGATTATGCTACAGTTAGTGATAATCCATAATCATTAGAGAGATTCTGAAGGCTGTGTTGGCAGCACTAATTTACATACGTTCTGATATATTGAATATACAAACCAGGATAACTATTGTTCTATGTCTGCTCTTCCCTTAAACTATCTTTACCGAGTTTTTTTTCTAAGTTGAGTTTGACATGTTAGATGGCCACGATCATTGCACTACACATGTCACAAATACTAATGGTGAGTTGCTCAGTATTTCAATAAGATTTCTGAACCAAAGTCTTTCATCACACTTCCTGTTATTATCGTTTCTTCACTCACTGTCATTTGATCAAGAATTTTCAGAAAAAATAATCGTTCGCCATCAAATCGATTTTTATGTGACACAAACTTTCATTTCTGTCATCTATTCCTTGAAGTTTGAGAATAGTCTTGAGCATTGAGGCTTGTGCGGGTTTGAATATGCATACACTCCGACTGTTAAAGAAATAATAATACACAACATTCATTAGAATAAAATGTCGTCATCGCTCTGTGGTGGAGAAGAGCACCATCATTCAGTGTTAACCGATATGAGGATTTGTAATTTACGGTACAAACAACTGATTTCAAGTCAGTGTGTTTTCAATAGCGTGCGAATTCAGTAGTCACAATGTGGTCCTACTAATTTGTAAACAAATGAACAAAGTAGATTTTCTGGAGTGATTACTGATGTATATGATTCTGGAACCCGTTTAATTTAAGTTTTTATAACTGCTCACATGATTACTACTGATAAGCTTTGACATGTTTCTAGTCTTTTCTCATAATCTTAGCGATGTATGTATTTTAGGTGATGAAATGCGTTGACCGTGAATAGGGAATACATTTTGTAATTTTAAGGCAATATTAATTGATGACAACTCTTGAATAATGCCTTACACATTATGAGATTATCGAATTTGAACAAACCTTGTACCTACTGTGAATCTACTCATTGTGAAGTAACATCTGTTCATGTGTTATCATTAATTATGACATTTAACTGGGCTAATAGTTCGTTAGACGAATTAGATTTATGTTTTCATGGGTGCGAACGAGTCCGGATGCAAACTACTGATTTGGCAAAATATACCTATGGCTCCGACGAGACTATTGTTCTGAAACTGGGTGTTCTAATCTTATTTTCTTATCAAGTTTACATGTTTGCGATCCCTGTATTGTAAGAGAACGTTGTTAGAAAGTTTGACAGGGTGAGAATCAACAATCTTTCTATGGGCACTGCTACTAATTCTTTGATAAATGAACTCATTAGACTTTCTACAGTGGTTACTCATACATATGATTCTGAAATTCGTCTTATTTATGTTTTCATGGCTATTCGTGTGATAACTACTGATAAGCTTTGGGATTTTTCTTCATTCATTACTCATAGTCCAAGTGGTGTATGTGTTTTAGGTGCTGAAATGCGTTGACCTGGAATAGAACGTTCATTTTGTATTATCTAGTCACCAATAATTAATGATAACTCACGAATTATGCCTTACACCGTTTGAGACTATTCAATTTCAATGAACCTTGCAGTTCCTGTGTCGCTACTATGAATTTCGCATTTTAAAATGACGTTCCTTAAGGTGTCATCAATCATTATGATATTTAACTGGTGTAGATAATTCGTTGGATGCATTAGTTTCGTATATTTTCAGGCGTGCAAGTAAATCTGGATTCGAACTAGTGACTAGATAAAATATATCTATGTCACCCACGAGACTGTGGCTTTGAAACTGGATGTCTCGATATTATTATCTTATCATGTCTGCATGTTTTTGATCCCTATATTGTGAGTCAACGTTGTTCGATAGTTTGATAGCGTTCGAATCAACATCCATTCCATGGCAAGACATTTGTCACGCTTGTCAAAATAGATCGGAGATTTACGTTACAGACTAGATTTTCAACCTTCCTTGATACCGATCATTATATATCTAAAGCACCGATTATTTCTCTAACCTACAACAAGGTTCAACTTAATAGGTACGTAATGTACACTAGGTGAGTAAGATCCAAGTACACTGTCACATTAAACAGTTTTCATTAGATGAACAAAATATGACTTTTATTCTGCACCTAGGAGTCTGAAGATCAGAACCCGTTAAATCAGATTCTTCGTAACGGAAAGAGAACGATGAAAATCCCTCCACAGATTTTTTGTTGGACAATATTTTTATTTATTTGTTTCTTCTCCCTGTCATATATATTAACCTTCGTTCAGATCTCATTTGAGCTTTTATTATGTGAGTTTGATTAAAAACTTATCTTTTTGTTACCTAATTTTTTATTGTATGTTGCCGGACTATTGACAGTGAAGTCGTGTTTGACTAAGCTCAAGGTCACAGCGTGATTTAATGTGTGACTGTTGACCTTTTGACTGTCTGCTTGGGAATCCCTGCAGATCGATATTTGATCCCGTTTGTT